TCGTAATCTTCCTCTGGCGAATTCGATGCTTCTGTTTAAATCGCAACACCCAACTTTCAGAAGCTTTAAAATTAAAATCTTCAAATTGACTTGCAGCTGCCAATGCCCATTGCTGAAGATTTCTAGTTGTTACTAGTCCTGTAAAAGTAACGAAAAAAAGCCTACCCGTATGTATTCGTTACTAGGGCTGGGCGATACCTCAAATAAGGTATCGAGTATCGATACCTTCGCGGTATCGATACTATTCAAAGTATCGAAAGTATCGAAGTATCGAAAGTATCGAAGTATTGAANTAGTAATTAAGTATTTTTGCGTGTAGTGATGTATATTAAGGGCGATTTAAGCATGACGCCGATAGATATTTACCAACGAAAACCCGAATTAAGATAATTTAAAGAGCGCTCTTTTTGAGTGTGATAATAGTTTTTTAAAATTCGGTTTGATAACAATTGCACAAGGTTTGGTAATTTTAAGTTATTTAATCTAAGTACAGAGCCACCGCTTTGTACTTTAAGTACAGATTGATCTTAGTATTAACTTATCGACAGGCAAAAACCGGTTTTAGATAGAGAAAGATTAAGCTTTTAAATGGCGCATTTAGTTTTTCACTATCTCTAATAATAAGAAAGATATCAGCTAACTATCTACTTATGAATGAACAAGTTCAACTTTTCCATAAACCCATCTTGGTATAATTTTACAATATACATGTTGCTTAAAAATCGTTAATCTTGCTTTTCTCGATGTAAAATCGCCCAAATAAGAATTTTGTGTAGAAATTAGATTTTGAGTTAGATTAATTTACGTTTGAATTAGCGAGAATTTCCCAAATGTCGGATTAGATATGCAGCAGGGTGTAGGTCAAATATAAACATCAGCTATAAAAATAAGAATAAGTATTTATAGGAACTCAATCTGTTTTTACAATTGATGACTATTGTTTATTCTGTTCTTAGCGTTACCCAGGTTGCACTATGAGGAAGTGAACAGAGACGCAAACCAAAAATAAAGTATAACTAGATATACTTTATAATTTGTAATAGAAAAATTTAAGCTTCCTCCAGGTACCGTTGCTCAGCTGGCTTCATAGGGTCGTACTTACATAATCGCAGCTATTCGATAAAATTCCGCCGCCTTATCAAGCTTCTTCACTGTGCACGATTTGTGGAAAATATATCTGGCAAGATTCCCTGGGAGATGACTTTTAGTACGGCCAGATGTTGACATACTACTCTTCGCATGACGCCAGGTGGATTCGATGGATTTGTAACTTAAAATATGCAAAAAAGTTGCCTTTTCGAAACGATACGTTTCCTCCGAGTGGAAACGTGCCCATTACACACCCACAAGTACCCATCAATTGCATTTCTACCTTAATCTTTTGAATTTCTCCAAAATAAGGTTTATTATTCTTCTCTTTCAGATTTGACCAAAGGATTTGACGAATATTTCAGCCTACGTTAGGAACTTTTGATGTTAAAAATATGTGTTATATATTAAGTTCCAAAATAACGTTAAACTAACTAATAAGTATCCTAATTATAATATTTAAGTGGTTTGAAGTCTTTTAATAACAAATTAAAAAAATTAAATTAATATTATGTCAAATTTAAAAAGTGTGAATTTCAATTCTAAACTTATTTAACTCTCAATTTAAATGCGATAACAGATTATAAACATTTCAAATAGATTTTTAGAATCTATTTGTATCTTATATTCTATTCAATTTTTTTTTTCGAATCTGTCTGCTCCTATCTGGCGACGCCCTTGTACATAGTTAATAGACACACAGTCTATCTAACGACAGGTACTTAGTCATTATGACCTATGCGAGGTTAGCCCCAAATTTTTCTAGCTCCCAATTAGATAGGATTTTACATGTATAGTATTTTGATTATAACAAGAAAACCAGTCAACCGATTTCGATAAACAATATCTCATTCGAAAGCTTAATCTTTGAACAATACGAAAGTGGAAATGCCCGACTCGAAATCTCTCGCGGGGTCATTTCAATGGCTGTACGCACATAATTAGTAAATTTTGAAATCGGGCATTTCCACCTTCGATGACTAAAATTGGTCAATTAGTTAAGGAGATAATTGATGTGTTTAATTAATTCGTTTGTTGTGTTTTAATCAAAATCTTGTGTTATTTTCGTGTATCTTCGCATTATTTTGGCGTTTTAGCGAAATTCGGAAGAGATTTCGAATCGGGCATTTCCACTTTCGTATTGGCCCAGGATTAAGCTTTCGAATGAGACATTGTTTATCGAAATCGGTTCACTGGTTTTCATGTTATAATCAAAATACTATACATGTAAAATTCTATTTAATTGGGGGCTAACTTCACATAGGTGTCATTATGAATAATTATGTTGTAATCTCAACAAGTTTAGTGAAAATAACTTTTTATTTTGTGCGTGGGTATAAGTTAAACAATTTCAGGTTAGGATTTAATACGAAAATACATGGTTAACATTGCTTGTGTTGTTAGTTATAATTGTCATTTGGTTAAATACACAATTTGTTGCCATCGTCACACGGGTTATTTTTTTATTGTTATTTTGTAACCATGTACACGTCTTTTTTAATATTAATTTTTAAATAAATAACTATTTTAACTTAAGTAAGGTACTATTAAATAAGCTATTATACTTATTTATCATTTATATTTACAATATAAAGATATTTCAGTCGTTTGACAAGAAGTGGGATGACACCGGAAGTGGGATGACACCGGAAGTGACGTCATGGGGGATTAGGGGGATGGGGGATTGATTTCCGGTCCAGAACTCTCATTATTTATCTACTGGCCGGAAACAATTCGCATAGAAACGAGATTGCGTATATGGTGGAGGAGCTTAAAGAAATCAACGTTATCAAATAAATTACTACGGACCTGTTTGGAGGTGGTGTTGGTGGTATTATCAGTATCAATAAATTCGGCCGTACGTTGCACGCATCTTCATGGGGTAGAATAATTGATGAAGCCGGAACGTCTCAGCGGGGGGTTGGATTACCGTTAACCTCATCTGGGGATTATGATATGCAGGGACGTAAACTTAGTAATGTACAAAGTCCATCGTTAGAAAACGATTGCGTTATAAAAGCATATGTAGATGAGATGTTTAAGACAAACGATACGGAGTATAAACGTATGTTCGATTCAATAAGTAGGACAATGCGAGCCAATAGGAATCTTCATTATTCTTTAAAAACGGAGGTTGATGATTTGCGAGATAAATCCAGAAAAGGTACGTCGGTGATTGAAACCCTACGTGATGAAATTGATGCTAGCAAGAAATATATTGATCTTCAAGTTTCCGGAAATTTAAGGCCTTCAATCGAAGCGATCGAGGATCAGATTTTAAATTTAAAATCGGGTGTTGAAAATTTGCGAATTAAATCCGAACAAGTTACGCCGGAGATTCAAACCCTACGTGATGAATTCGATGCCAGCAAGAAATATATCGATCTGCAAGTTTCCGGAAATTTAAAACCTTCAATCGAAGCGATCGAGGATCAGATTTTAAATTTAAAATCGCACTGGGTATCCGATATTAAAAATCTGCATGCTAAAATTGATGTTGGCGATGTAAAAATTACCGAAATTTCCAACGAATTAACTGATACGGCGGCAAAGTTCACAGATGTTATTAATCGAAATTACTCGGACGTCTCTGGTGATTTAACTCAACTTTCCGATCGTTTAACAAAGTTGGGGGACGCAATTAAAACGGAATTCACTAATTTATTAAATCAAGTAAAGCTTAACAAATCGAATATCGAAGATGTATCGAATTTATTAGACCCATCTAAGACCGGACAGATCGCATCGCTAATTAAAACGGTAAACACCGATATACCTTTAAATCTAAATCGCATTACAAATCGTCTATCGGTGATTGATACGCTCATATCGAATATACGACAGTCGATCGGTGCGCAAAAGTCGCGAGTTGACCTCATGGATTCCGCTATATTTTCCCGACTTGATATATTAGAGAAAAAGGTTGGTCTCAAACCTTAATTGTCACAATGGAGAAGGTGTCAGATGCGAAACGTGTCATTGTGGAGGAGCTCCATCGCCCCGCTAGACGTATTTTCGCTAGACGAAGAACCATCCTGAAGGGGATCGATGATCTATGGCAGGCGGATCTAATTGAAATGATTGAGTTTGCCAGATTGAATTCCGGATATAAATATATATTAGTGGTTATAGACTGTTTCTCCAAGTTTCTTTGGACGCGTCCGTTAAAAAGTAAAAATTCTACGGACGTCACCGCAGCGCTACGCTCAATTCTCACAGACGACGGTCGCGCGCCTCGAAATCTACAAACCGATCAGGGCAAAGAGTTCTACAACAGTCAATTTAAACGGTTGATGTCGGATTTTAAAATTAATCATNAGTTTAATCTTTTTACATTGTTATTATATTTATATTAACTTTAATTTTTTAATTTATTTAGATTAAAATGAGCTGACCTGAATTTAATTTGTTTTCTTTATCAAATCTCCATCCCCCCTTACATATATCTTTAAAGTGTTATTTAATATTAATTCCTCAATGCGTTTGGATTATTTAAAAATATCAAACAATTGCTTATATTACAAAAAATTATTTATTTAAAAAAGTATACGTAATTTATAATAAACTAACTTATCTTTTATATTTAACTTACAAGCTTATTTTAAAAATAATATACCTACATTATTTAAAACTTTAAATTTAATTTGAAATTAGTCTATTTCCAGTAAAACGTGCTCTTAATGATATTTTTATACACTATTACAATATCCTTTTCTATTGATTTAATAGCGAGCTACTTCTATCATTAAAAATTGGTATACAACTTCGGAACATTCTACTCTTAAACTTACTTGAAAATTTGGTTTCTTCAAGCAGAACGCGCACCACATTTTCTCGCTTTCCAGTAGCTCAATGAATTCACTCTTATTTATAATTTGAAACCCCCCAAGAATGGATTCACTTTTATTTACATTCGGGGGTTTCAACCCCGAATTCTGCTGTTTTGTGGTTTGAGTTGAAATCCTTCTTTATTTCGTAAAGAACCAAAATTAAGCTCCATATCGAACATATCCCAACAATGGCCGCATACAGGCCCGTGTTTAGTGTGATCGTATGATATGCTCTTGTATACTACTCCATCCCCATTTATTTGATTGAAAATTTCATCACTAAAGTATTATTATTAACATCTCAATTATTATCTTTAAAGACTATATTTTAATTTCTAATTTACCTGAAAATTTCAGCATTTCTAAAGATGGCGCATTGTAACTTATGATTCAGTTTATAATTAAACACCTCCATTGTAATGCACCTAACGTCCACATCATCGGAACATTTTTTATGCGTTCCAAGCTCGAACCAATTATCCTGGAACCACGTGTTCCATAAGTCTAACACTACTTTCCACGGCAAGTATTCTTGGAGTGATAGTATATGTAGACGATTCGATATGTTTACATTGATTTTCGCTTGAGCCAAATCTTTCAGCGAAGGTGCGTTGATCAAAGCCATTGTAGTATATGTTAACGTAAAACAAGTTAAATGATACTAAACTCCTTAATTTAAAATTATTGTATTTAAGCGAAAAGTCGAGAATTCGTAATCATTATCTAACCGCATTAACCCCATTTAACGGTTGCGAGATTTTTATTCTGGTGATAATTTCGTTAAATTATTTTATTTATTTTAAATTAAATCTTTTTTTTAATTTACATCAATCTAATTTGATTAACGACAGCGATAGGGATGATGCAATAATGAGGGAGCTACTCCCTTAGTTCAAGGGTATTTTGCGGTTTTTATATTTTCTAATTGGTGGATTCACTGATGCGCGCGCATCTTTTTTGGCTTAGGGTAATTACTATCCCTACCGTAATTTCAATGTAGTCCGAGGTAGCCGTTCATACTGATAAGATGTCTCGTCTAAATCTTTTGGGTTCATACGTTTTCCCATTGAAACGTTCGCTTTCTTCGCTACAAATCGATCATCCTTACCCGATTGTGAGAGCTAAAAGAATCGCATCGAACAAATGGCCCTCCGTTATTGTTGAGTTGGAAGATGGTTTTGCGGTATATTTACCGTTGAGAATTGCCGAAGCTATAACTGATGAAGAGTTACGGTCCCTCGATAGGATGTCTTTAGTATATCTCGGAAAGAGGGATTTCGGGAAACAGAATCCTGTGAATTTAATCCGATTCGATCAGAAAATTTATACGACTCCTTCTCCGGTAGCGGACGTCGCTGAAAATTTGGTGGTGGCCCATACTGTTCCGGAAGTGTCCACACCCGTCAGCAGACGATATCATGGGGCAGCACAGGCCCCTCTTCATGAACGTAACCAAGGCGGTTTCTATTACAATTTAGCGACCGATGTCGTGAACAGTACAGACTAATCTTATCCGTTAATTATGTTTAATTGAAATTTAAATATATATGTATTAACTTTAATTTTTTGTGATTTTCTCTTCCTCCTACCCTCAATCAATAATAATAAAGAACATATTTTAAGTCATCGCTCAGCGGGGGATTAACTTCCGCTGATAAGCATACGATCGTCGACGTCGTCTCCCATTGAGCGTTATCTGAAATTTATGTGCGACCTATTGTAATATAGATGGCGCTTATGTAATTTTTATCTCCTCCCATATATATTATATATCGCTACCGTTTTATATTTCAGTCGACGTCTAGCGTTACGATATGTCCCAACGCGATTTGATTGTTGCGATACAAGGTTTAAATGCCTTAAGTATAAGCGCGAACAAACCTAAAGTTCCAATTTCGTCGTTAGAGAAGAATAGGGTGTATCGGGTGATACGTTTCACGCAAGACCCAGATTCGTATCAAGACCTTCTGGCAGAATTGGAGCACGTTAGGGTATATTTACCACCCCTTTACGCTGATCGCATTTAGAAAGATATCATAAACGGACAAGAGCAACTCGATTCGATTAATCTATGAAGGATATACACCCGCTACTGAACGATTGAAATTTATACTTTTGTAATTAAACTGCTACACAATGGGCAAATGTTTAAATAGCTTACTATCTTTCGTCGCCGAAATTCTCTGTACTTTGATCGATGTTGTGACAAGCGCTGTCTGTATATTTTTATCATTTTTGGCATGTTTAATTTAAATTTAAATTTTTAATATATGTATTAACTTTAATTTTTTGTGATTTTCTCTTCCTCCTACCATCAATCAATCAATCAATCAATAATAATAGGGCACTAATAGGGGGTGATGGGGTTGAAGGGGCCAATAGGGCACTAATAGGGGGATGAAGGGGGCCATTAGGGCACTAACATGGGGTTGAAGGGGGTCAATAGGGCACTAATAGGGGATGAAGGGGTTGAAGGGACCATTAGGGCACTAACATGGGGTTGAAGATGACACCGGAAGTGACAAGATACCGGAAGTGACAAGATACCGGAAGTGGGATGACACCGGAAGTGACGTCATGGGGGATTAGGGGGATGGGGGATTGACTTCCGGTCCAGAACCGGCATTTATTATCTACTCCAATCATTGCTTCTTGTAATTACCGTCTGGTTTTCTAAAGATAAGAAACATATTTATTAAGTGCTCATTAAATATAGGCGTAACTCTGTTTATATAACTTTCGTGCAGTGTGCAATTCATTTAGTATGAGTTCATCGTCTACAAGTAACTCTTCATTTGTGCAGCTAAGTATAAAAAGTTTTTTCACCGAAAATGGCAACAGATGCTTTGCGAGAACCAGAGGCGATCAGCGACTCCGAGGAAGAAGAAGATGTCCTTCCATCAGCTCAGAATCCAGTCGAAGACCTCAATCAATTAGAGACATTTTTCAACAAGAAGAAAACGGTGGAAGATGTGGTACTTCAAATCTTTCCGAAATATCCAACAGCATCGAAATTGATGACATTTCTAATGGCATGCTCGAGGTTAGCCAACGCCAAGAAGTGGAATGCCGAGATGCAATGTCTGAAGAACTTGTGGCTTCCGATATCGACAAAATGGAAATCGATTCAGAAAAGGTCGGAAATAACTTCCTGGAAATGTTTCCAGGAAGTTATTTCCATGATATCGTGCGATCTGCTATCATTGACGAGTACGGAACAATTAGAAACTTTATTACTAGACTACGACAAACTGAATTCAGAGGTGAGGTGTTCATCTTATCAAAACACGGGGAACACTTCCACATCATACACGACTGCCCGTACTCGGGAAACAGATGCAGATGCGCCCGCACCGAAATATGCAAGGGATTCCGCAGGAGGACGAGTAGGACGATTATTTGCAAGTCAGAGCTTACCTTCGAGAGAAACCTTTCGAGAGAAATATCGGAATATATGTATGCACGGGAGAACGGGAGGTTGTATTCGCTGAAGTGTCAGGCCGACGCTTCGGACGAGTATATCATTCAACTCAAAGTATGCTACACAATGGGTAAATGTTTAAATAGTTTACTATCTTTTGTCGCCGAAATTCTCTGCACTTTGATCGATGTTATCACAAGCGCTTTCTGTATATGTTTATCATTTTGGGCATGTTTAATTTAAATTTAAATTTTTAATATATGTATTAACTTTATTTTTTTGTGATTTTCTCTTCCTCCTCCTACCATCAATCAGTCAATCAATCAATAATAATAATAATAAATAACCTATTTTAAGGTGAGTATTATTTCAATTCAGTCATCGCTCCGCGGGGGATTAACTTCCGCTGATAAGCATACGATCGTCGACGTCATCGTCGTCGTCGCCGTCGAGAAGAGCAGTGAAGTATGAGGAAATGATAGAAGCAAGACCACATTGCAGGATCCCGGGAAAGTGCTGGAGGGAAATTAAGGAGATGAGGCTGATGTATGGGCAAAGAGATAGGGAAGAATATTATAGAAGAGTGGGATACTCACTAAGTGGGATCGAAAATAGAAGATCGGAAAGAGGTAAAATGTGGAGAGAACTGAGAGATAGGGACATGGATATACAGAGGCAGGAAAGAAGATCACAGATACGAGAAGGGAGATACAATGAAAGGTATGGGGAGATAGTGACAAAGGAACTGCCAAAGTATTTGTTGATGGAGGGGGATGATTGAGGTAAGAGATTGGTAGCCAAATTCCGCTGTGGCAATGAGGAGAGGGGGAATAGGTACTGGGCGATCGATGTGGAGAGCTGGTGTAGGCTGTGTGGAGAGGATTGGGAGACGCTGGAACACATGCTGAGAGGGTGTAGTGAGCTAAGGGAGGGGAATACTGAATTCATTAAAGTCACTCAATAAATTAATCATTTCGAATAATCGACGTCGATGGCGCATTAACTGTACGTTACTTACAAGATACAGTAAATATTGCCACCGTAACAAACTCTATGGGAAATAAACACTTTTTAAAATTCGTCTTAAAATCTGTAAGAATTAAAACGAAAATGTATACATATATTTTTATTCTGTGCAATTACGTAATACATACTTATCATTTCTATTATGAAAGGATACATATTCCAAAGTATATATACGATAATCAATATTATTGGTCCGAGTCCTCGAAGCCTATGTGANACACCGGAAGTGACAAGATACCGGAAGTGACAAGATACCGGAAGTGGGATGACACCGGAAGTGGGATGACACCGGAAGTGACGTCATGGGGGATTAGGGGGATGGGGGATTGATTTCCGGTCCAGAACCGGCATTATCTATCTACTTTTAGTGATGAAGATGTTGATAAATTTGAGGTTAAAAGTCCGAACGTAATTCCTAAGGGTTTAGGAGCTGATGTATCAAAATCTCCTTCAACCTCGGCGTTAATGAAACCTGAAGCAAAATTAGAGCGTATACGCATTGGAAGCTCGTTGAAATTAAAAATTTATATTATGTGTACGGTAAACAGGATTCAATTGATCTTAGAATGGGTATAAGATACGATTCTAAAACCGATGGATGGAAGATCGGTTCAAAACCTGTTGAATTTACTGACACACACATATTACTTGACGGCGGTAAATTAAATATCCCAACCAGTCCGGGTTTATATGAGCTCATACAATTGAAGGGGCCTAAAAATTTCACGGAAGAGGATCTTCAGAGGTATAAAGATATCCTAACGTTTACGGGAGCCCGTAAACAGAACTATACCGGGCCTATAGCGAGTAATCGTTCTGAAAAATATATTAGAATAATTAAACCGCTATTTAACAACGCGGGCGAAACCGCGTGATCAGGACTAGAGGTCAATTCCAATCGGGTTCAGTATAAATACTGGAATGATGTTAACGAATTGGTAGATTGATTGAGATTGTTGCACGCACCGTATGCGGTCGGAAACAATTCGTACAGAAACGAAATTGCGTATATTGTAGAGGAGCTTAAAGAAATCAACGTTACCATATAAATTACAGACAGGCGGATATGTATGGAAGCGGTGGTGGCGGTGTTGGGGTACTTATGTGAATTACAATCATTTAATTTAGTTTTTAGCCTTTTTGTTTCCCGTTCACACGAAGAGCAACACCAACCGCACTCCGATCAGTAATTGTTTTAATAGTAGGCATTGTAGGCGCTATAGTACGTAACTCTGGCTTAGGTAACATTTTATGAACACATTTACTAGCCCATGCTTAGATTTCAACTCATAAACCTAAATTTTGACCCTTACGATTTGTTAAATCCTGTCTAATCTCCATAATTTCCTGGGTTCTTTCATCGAGAGATTCTCTTAAAGATGCAATTTCTTTAGGAATCTAAATTTTTTAAATTCTCATTGCAAGTTTCTAAATCTTTAAGATCTCTATGAGCTGTAATGGATAATTGAGCATATCTTGAAACTAGATCCGTGTTTCGTAATTTATATTCTGTTAGATCATTAGTACAATTAGTGCGTTCCACTGTTTCAAATTCATTCGAAGAGTTCGCTATGGACTTTATTGTAGATGTTGTTCCATTATAAGGTTTTAAAGTCGATGATAATACAGGTTTTGGTGATGAGAGTGAGGAAAAGCGAGCAGAGTCCTCTACATCTAGCAACTCTTCTTGGAGGAAGGAAAGCTAATTTGAGTCGAAATTGAAGTTGCTAATGAAAAAATTTTCGGTAGCAAACCTCAACTCTCCTGCTTGGAATTAAAAATTGGTGAGGTACATCCGATAGTATCTTTAAAACGATTGGTTAAAGCCAATTTTCTTCTTTGTTGGTGGAGCTTGAGAAAAACATTATCTTTCTCCCCAAAAGATATTTACTACAAATTGATGATGAATTCAACGAAATGGTGAATTCGAGAGAGTATGATCAAATAAATTTGAAACTAATCGAACGCAAACCTGTGGGAAAATCTAACGCTCTACATGAATTTGAATTTGTAAAGTGTTAAGAATGTTTAATACATAAATTAGAGTATGGATTTAATAGAATTTAGTAAATATAGTCGGTTGTAGCAGATAAGGTTGTATGAATATCATATAAATTAAAATTTAATGAATTTGAAGATATAAAAAACCACGATGGAATTTTTAACTACCGAAACCGTTAAAACTACGAGGAATTTATTGAATATTTCCAGAACTGAAGAGAAACTTAAAATACTACAAAAATTAAATAAAACAAATATTCGATTAGTAACTAAATTTACGTACATCTAATGGGGGAATAAGAGACAAGAGACGTTATCAATCAATCTTATGCGATATAGCAAATAGGTTTAAAAATTCAAAAATCATTGGCGGTAGCGAGAGATATTAAAAGCGGGAAAGGATTTTGTAGAAAAAGAAGTGATCGTATTCAATGGAGAGATGTAGCTTCCGCATTTCAGTCCCGTATAAGAACAGGTGCTATTCTTAATATAGTGCATAAAGACCCTAGAGCGTTTTTAAAAGATTGTATTCCTCTCATCCAGTCCAGAGTGCGAAACGCGTTAAAACAAAATATGATTGGTTAAAAAACTGAAAAAGAAGATATCAAATATTTGAATACCATCAATTTCTAATATTACACTCATCTTCCATTAAATCGTTATTAATGAATCTTATTGAAGCTATAATTAATCAAGTAAGTCGTTTGCATGATTTCTTAGGCACTTATTTATTATATTTTTATTTTATGTTTTATAGATGGGAGAATTTGCGGAACGCAACTCTGGCATTCGTTTCCAGCAACTACTTATTGGTTTGCATCAATAAATTTTCACCGCTGCAAGGAGGCACTTACATTTCGCTACCTTCCAATTTGTCGAGAAATAAAAAAGGTGCTATCCTCAACATTCGTAATTATAACAACCTCTGTTTTTTGTATTGTATATTGGCTGTTATGCACAACATTTATTCATGTGAATTCGCTTCTTTAATATCGAAGAAATTTTTAATTTAAACGGAATTCAATTTCCTATTGGTCTATCCGACATAAGTAAATTCGAAAAACTAAATCTTTCAATATCAGTTAATGTTTACGGATTCAATAGTGATTGAGAGATTGAGATTGATCATTTTAATTTATTATGTTTAGAAAGTAATGGTACTGTTTAATACTTGATTTATCTCCGTTGTTGCACAATTGTTGAACAAAAAAAATTTAAAATTTAAAAATTTTAAAGCATTGACGGACCGTTGTTGGTTAAGGGATACAATTTGGATAGCATGGACCACATTAGTAGGGGTGGTGGTATGTTTTGACACCACGTTTTTTCTCAAGTTAGTAAATATGTTAAAGATGTCAAGCGGATGTTATGTGATGCTCTTGTTTTGTCTCAATTTAATTACATGGTTTCTGTATATCATCCAGCCTTGACTGCTTTTGATTCAAATAGAATCCAAAACATTCAAAACTGCATGTCTACATTTTATTTATGGCATACGAAAACATGATAAGATTTCTCATAAGTTAGTTGACGCTGGATGATTGTCGATGAGGAACAGAAGAGTGCTTCAGCCATTGGTGGTTTATCATAAACTAATGTTGAGCAAGACTCCAAGTTATTTATATAGGAAGATTAATTTTAGATATAACTTTCACGATCAATTGACCAGGTTTTTTTTTTACTTTTCCACCTGACCATCGCACGGGTTTGTTTGAGAGATCTTTCTCATACCATATTTACAAATTCTATAATCTTATTTCGATGGCTGATAAGAAATTAAGTTTATCGGAATTCTAATTCCATCCTATTATTGAATGAATGAATGCGAGGTAGGTAGGTATCAAGGTTTATACAACCTTGGGCTACACGGTGAAAGCTTGTATTAGTGATTGTGGTGGAAGTAATGTTCAATTATAGAGAGATCTTGGTGTAACATATGAACATACTTATATAAAACACCAAATTATTGGGAGTAATATATATTTTTTTCCTGATGCTCCACATCTGCTAATATTAATTCAAAATTGGCAACCATTTGAACAACTGATTCAAACAAATGATTTAGAAATAAGCAGTAATTTCAAATTAAATGAAAATCATGTACGGTGGTGTCAAAGATACGAAACACAAAATGTTGCTTTGGCAGCTCAACTGCTATCATATACTACTGCGGTGGCGTTAAGAAAATATAGCTCAGTAGATAAATAATGAGAGTTCTGGAGCGGAAGTCAATCCCCCATCCCCCTAATCCCCCATGACGTCACTTCCGGTGTGATGACATCACTTCCGGTGTCATCCCACTTCCGGTATCTTGTCACTTCCGATGTCATCTTCAACCCCATGTTAGTGTCCTAATGGTCCCTTCAACCCCTTCACCCCCTCTTAGTGCCCTATTGGCCTCCTTCAACCCCATCACCCCCTTCAACCCCATATTAGTGCCCTATTGGCCTCCTTCAACCCCATCACCCCCTTCAACCCCATGCTAGCGCCCTAATGGCTCCCTACTACCCCGCTTCAACCCCAAGCATTCATAGATTAATCCAAGCTTAATCGAATCGAGTTGCTCTTGTCCGTGTATGATATCTTTCCAAATGCGATCAGCGTAAAGGGGTGGTAAATATACCCTAACGCGCTCCAATTCTGNCATGACGTCATACATTACGTCACACACTTATCTCTGACGTCACACGTGACGTGGGAGCCATTTCCGCTCCAGAACCGGCATTACTATACTACTCTCTTATCAAAGATCTGCTAAGAAAAGTACATTGTCTAACTACTGATACCACTGATAATTTTTATACGTCTCCTCAACTAGCAGATCTATTGATAACACACAAAACAGATACATACGGGACATTGAGGTTGAGACGAAAGGACGTTCCTGCAAATTTGAAGTCAACTGTTAGATACCAATGTAACAGGAAGCTTTATTCCTAATCAATTCTAACCCTCATTACCCTAACGAAGTATTTTCAACCACGAAAATACGATAAGAACTGGAGAGCGAACAACAGGATGTGTGTGCGACTAGATTATTTTTGCCCCTAGTTCATTCACACTGGTTGACCACGGAAAATGCGATAAGGTCGTATATACAGGGTGTAACTTACTTAAGTGATGACTTTAATTTCAATGGGTGATTCCTTGTTATATTTTAAGCACAAAAGTTCATATGAACATGGGTCCGCAAATGCTTCGTTTCCAAGATATAGGGTGTCAAAGTTGAGAAAATAAATAATAATATAACCTTCAAAAAAACATTTATTTGTGCATGTTCGTATGAACTTTTGTGCTTAAAATATAACAAGGAATCACCCCTTGAAATTAAAGTCATCACTTAAGCTACACCCTGTATAAACCCTGGATTCCAAAAGCTCCCTCTCTTATTCTCTTATTTTCTTCGACTTCAACACAGTTAACAACTGTCTTCTACTCGTCACACATCTCCTGAATTCGTTCTTCAATCATCAAGTTACCGAAGTGTAAGAAGACAATAAAGAAAGAATTAAGCTTTACCGATTGTTGTGTTTTACTATCTACATCCTAACAAAAAGTTCGTGTTGCCAAACACGTAGAAAAAACTGGCTGGTGTCACGACATAAAATTTGATGTCAGAAGTGGGATACTTCGACTACAACAGCGAGGACAACACCTTCCAAGGTTCCTTCCAGTTAGTGGATTTCAATCTTTTGAGCGAGAGCCCATCACCCGAAGCACAACTGTTCGAGCGTAATTGAGCAAGGTAAGCGATATTTCTTTTCTTTCACCTTTTTGCATTTCTTTTGGTACAAAATCACCATTCCTAATTCAAACACTTCTTCTATATCAAAACCTTAAAAGCATATTAAAATGACGAACGACAACATTCCCACTATTAAAAAGACGAACGACAACATTCCCACTAATTTGCACAACAAACCATCAACCAGAGTTCCAATTAACGTTTCTGTGTTCACTCATTCCCAGATCTTTTGATGGCAAAAGAGCAGAATTTCAAAAAAGGCCCCTCTTAGTGTACATTATTTCAAAATTGACCGGTAGAGTTAGATCTCAATTACAAGGTAAATGTTACGATGATTGGGATGACTTAAAAGAAATCCTCTGTACTGTTCACCAAGATAAAAAACATTATATTCAACTCATTGAAGAATTAAACACCTTGAAACAACGAAATTCCGAATCTGTTGCCTCATTCCACGAACGAATAGATAAGTTAACTTCAAGACTCCTTGGTTCAGTTTCTTATAAAAATCTTAAGGAACAAATCGGTAAATTTGAAACTATTAAAGAATTGGCTATGAATAGATTTATCCATCATTCAAAACCCGACATTTCCCGATTCCTTAGAGGACAAAATTTAGATGACATCTCCGAAGCTTTGCTAAGAGCACTTGAAGAAGAAAGAGCAATCAATATTTCCCACAGTGAATTTCGACCAAAATCCAGTAATAAATATTGCAGCTTCTGTAAAAAGAATAATCATAACACAAAAGCTTGTTTTAGAAAACCTAAATCCCTAAACCAACCAATTAACTTCAATTCATCTAATCCTTCTAATTCAAATTCATCTAACTTCTCTAATTCTAATTATAATTCAAATCAAAAGTTAAATAAAACAAATGCAAACCCTAATCCAAACGCCAAATTTTGTAACTATTGTAAAAAGAATGGACATACAATAAGCGAGTGTCGCAAACGCGAATATAATAACAAACGAAAACAGCAAAATAATAATTCTAATCATAATAATTCCGCACAAGTTCATTTAAACTCCAATCCATCCCACGTGAACGCCTCACTTGTGGAACAAGATATTCAAATGGTGTAGCTAATTCGAATTCCAACATAAAATCAAATTCTAATGCCAGGTTTATACAGAATTTAGCTGTAAATTTAAATTTAAAGATTTAAATTTAAGGATTTTATTTAGCTTCAACAAAAAAATTAATTTATACAGAATTTAAGATTTACAGAATCGAAACCTCAAGAAACAAAATATTACTGGTTTTTGTGTTGTCATTTTCTACCAATATCTTATCTTTATGTTCAGAACATTTTTTGTCGTAAATATGTATATCGGTAGTTCTCAATAATTTTAATTAATTTTCCATCTAATTCACTCCTTTTGTTGGCACAGAAATAAACAACAGTTGAGGTTAGCGCGCTATTTACACCGACCGATCATTGGATACATTGGATACTGATTGAGGTCGTCTTGCGCATGTGTGACGCTGTAAATTTATAAAAGTTGACCAAGTTTATGTTTACATTTAGCTCTTACAGCTAAATTTTTAAATTTAAGTTTACAGCTAAATCGTCTGTATAAATCCGGCTTAACTTTTCATCGAAATTTAAATCAAATTTTAAATCTAATCCGTCGTTAAAATCAAATCTTAAAAATTCTAAATCTAATTCGTCATTCAAATTGAAACTTAATTCTACATCTAATCCTTCATTCGAATCAAATCTTCAAAATCCTAAATCGAATTCTAATAATTGCTTCGAAACGAACTCTACACCTTTTCCTATATCAAATCCAAACACCATTTCTACCTCCAAATGCCAACAAATTAATCAAAATCCTTCTAATGTTTCCAAAGCTATTGACACATTCATCGCCAATAAAGGCATGGTTTATATAAAAACGATTTACCAAAATATCGAATTCATGTTTTTAATAGACACTGGAGCCAGCGTCTCCTTGATAAAACTAGATAAATTAAAACAAACTAAATCTAAACACAACCCTTCAGAAACGATGTCATCATTTAAAACAGGAAATATTTAATGAATTGATCCATATTTAAAAAGATACAAGTAATTCTTGTTAACAAACCAAAAATTTGCCCAAAAGATCAAGAAGAGATCAGTTCTTCTTGAAAGTTCTTATTTCAACCAGACGAGTGTTATTAATAATTTGTGCAATAATCCTAATGTGTTGCTGTTGCAAGTGCTCGTGGTTACCCATAATAGGACGTTTCTTTCCTAAACATCCCCAATACTGTGGACTGCCGAACGTGCGCATCACTAAACACAACGAACGTTTTGAATTAACCGATCGTCAACTTGCAGCATTTAACTCTTTAAGACTCAGACATCTAGAAGAAGAAGACGACGAAAACCTTCGTCGAGCAAGAGTAGAAGTTCCACGATTACACCCCAATGCATCTTCACCCATGATCCGCCCTAGGAGATCATTGGTAGGTCGATTTAAAATTTAAATAACCTTAATAAACTTTAAACTGATTATTTTCAATTTTACTCCTATTGTCTCATCTTATTTGAATTATTCTTATCTCATGTGAAATTATTTTATTATAAGCCAATAAGTTTTTTTGTTAGATTAAGTGACCTAAATTTGATGAAAAAAAAATAATAATAAGATCATTAACATTTTTAAAGGGGGAGGTGTTAAATACCAATGTAACAGGAAGCTTTATTCCTAATCAATTCTAACCCTCATTACCCTAACGAAGTGTTTTCAACCACGAAAATACGATAAGAACTGGAGAGCGAACAACAGGATGTGTGTGCGACTATATTATTTTTGCCCCTTGTTCATTCACACGGGTTGACCACCGAAAATGCGATAAGGTCATATACAATGTTGGAAATAATTCATGAGCACACCCTCTATAATCTGAACGCGTGAAGATAAATCCATATTTGCGGAGCACAAAGGTTTACTGCAGACTTGAAAGTAGTTAACAACTGTCTTCTACTCGTCACACATCTCCTGAATTCGTTCTTCAATTATCAAGTTACCAAAGTGTAAGAAGACAATAAAGTATGAATTAACCTTTACCGATTGTTGTTTTACTATCTACATCCTGACAAAATCTTCGTGTTGCCAAACACGTAAAAAAAACTGGCTGGTGTCACGACACAACTAAATCAGCCAAAGAAGGCATTATTAACTACTAACGAGGAAAGGTGTGTACATTCAAATGGAAAGACAAAAAAACCTAGAAAAACCTAAGGCCAACTTAGACTATAATCATACAATGCGAGGTGTTGATCGCGCTGATCAACACCTCACAGATTACCCAATTTCAAGAAAGATCATACATTCATCATATATTATATCAAACTATTTGGAACTGTCATGTGCTTTATAGAAAAAATGGAGGTAGCAAACTACATGCACAGTTTCGGCAGAGGCACTAATTCATTGATTCCTAAAGTGGTCCAGGTGGATCCCCAGGGGTCCATGTTAGATTCGACGGGGGTCTACGTTGGCGTGACAAAAAAATGGGGGTTCACAATTCGTAAGCGAGGGTCCTCGAAAATTTATCTGGTTTCGATAGTGAAGAACTAAAATGTTGGCTTCACTTCACCTATTAATATTTTAACCCTACGTTAGTCACATGGGTGACGTACGTCACCCACTGGTCTGTTTATGTACGCAACTTCAAACAGACGGGGTATACCATGCTGTCGAATTCAATACCTTACCAGTAATGTACCATAAACAATTGGCAATAGTTTCCGTAAGATAAGGTGTTTTGATTCTCTTCTATATTCGCATCAAATTTCATTGGTTGACAAATGACGTTATTACCCCGCGTGAGTAATAACGTCATTTGTCATTTGTCGTGTGTCATTGTAAAGGTAAGTTTTTTGTGATCAATTTATCTGCACCGTAGAAATAATTGTATGTAATGTAACTAAAAATTGAAATCTAAGTAAAGATTATAGTTTATCAGTAAACATAATATATTTTTAGTAAATTATTTAGTAAGAAAAATAAAATTTGAAATCTACTTTTCAAAAATAATATAAAAATTGGTCAGAAATGCAAGCGATTTTTTTCATAAACCATTTACGAACAGACATTTGAATCTAAATTTTGTCAATTAGATCTTTTAGACTGAAATGGACAATTCAAAAAGACGCAAGATTGAATACAGTAAGGATCCAGATATTTGGATGAAATGGTATGAGGAACTATGAGCTGATGATGACAGAAGACCTACTAACGAAGATGAAAGTGAACCAGGAGAGGAAGATCATGTGTCAGAAAGTGAGCATGATACCGATACAGAACAAGAAATGAATCAGGATATCAATGAAATTGAAGAAGATGTTGATGAAAGTGTTGCAATTACAAGCAAATCAATAAACGACTACATAGGTAAAGACGGAACAAAATGGACTTCAATATGTTCTAGAAATGTACGAACTCGTATAGACGCATAGACAGCATTCAGGATAATTTTCAACGTTCTCAAGATGCTAGACATACAGATGCTATTGAAGTACGAGCTTTTATAGGTTTATTATACTTGATTGGATCTTTGAGATCGTCTCGCAAAAACTTACATTTACTCTGGGATAATTCAAGAGGCAACGGCCTTGAATCTTGCTACCTTACAATGAGCGAAGTCAGATTTCGATTTTTGATCAGATGTTTTCGATTTGACAGTATTCTGGATAGACCCGCTCGAAGGGCAATTGACAAATTAGCGCCAATCAGGGAGGTATCAGAGCTACTAGTAAATAATTTTCAAAAATACTTTTCGCCAAGTGAATACCTGACAGTAGACGAGCAACTTGTAGCATTCAGGGGCCGATGTGCCTTCAAACAATACATACCAAGCAAGCCTGCTAAATACGGTCTGAAGGTATTGGCGCTAGTCGACAGTAAAACTGCTTCCCACACTTCTAATTTAGAGGTATACGTGGGTAAATAGCCTGAGGGACCATACCAAGTAAGCAACTCAGCGGAAGACATTGTTTTGCGTTTGGTTGCACCAATTTCAGAATCCAACAGAAATATTACTGGCGATAACTAGTTCACTAGTGTAATACTGTCGAAAAAGCTTCGGACGGAAAAGAAGCTAACATATGTAGGGACCATACGAAAAAATAAACGCGAGATACCAAAACAATTTTTACCGAACAAAAATAGAACAGAAAATTCTTCAGTGTTTGGATTTCATGAAGACCAGACTGCTCTTTAGTATCTTACTGTCCTAAAAAAACAAAGCAGTGCTACTTTTATCAACGATGCATTATACGGATGCCATAGACGAGTTTACTGGTCATAAAAATAAACCAGAGGCTATAACGTTTTATAATATGACTAAAGTAGGTGTTGACCTCGTTGACCAACTTTGTCAACACAATAACGTTGCACGCAATACTCGGCGTAGGCCTATGGTTCTTTTTTATAATCTCGTAAATATAACAGGAATAAATGCCTTATGTGTTTATAAGCACCATCACATAAACGAAAAAATGTCACGAGCTACGTTTTTGCAAAATCTCAGCTGAAATTTGATAAAGCCACAAATAGAACGGAGATCCCAAATTACAAACCTTCCAGTAGAACTACGACGACGCGCAAGGTTGCTTCTTGAGATTGAAGAACCTGTACCACTACGTGAAGATAGAACAGGCTCTCGTGGGAGGTGTTACGTATGTGGAAGAGTTCGTGATAAAACATCTAGAAAATTTTACGAAAAATGTGGAAAATGGGTATGTGGTGAGCACCTGAAAGAGATATGCATTAACTGCAATACAAATTAGTTGTTTATTAAGTTATTTATTAAGAATAAAGTTTATTTTGATTATTTTTCTTATTTTGTTTTATCAAATACATTGTCCTATGATATAACCATGCAAAAATGCATTAAACAGAATATAACAATTAAAATTATAGCTAGTGAAAAATGGGTGACACCTGTCCCCCGCGTGACTTTGTACGTTATCGTCATTCACGTGAGTAACCTAGGGTTAAGAAGCTCAGCGACTGTTACTTGTAAAAATTAGCATACTCCATATTCAGTACAACGTGTCGAGCCTTGTAAACCGCCGCTGCCCGCAACGCTTGTTCAGACGTGCAAAGGGACGAAATACGACTTGTGGTGTGTGTGCTTACAATCTTGCATGAATACGAATGCCAAGGAGAAACGCTACTCATTTGTTTCCGAAATTTCGAAAAGTAATGTAAAGTGAATAGATGTTAGTGTTTGCCAGTGTCGGAAAAAATAAGTACTTACCTGCCTATTTGTTATACATACTTTTATTTTATTATTTATTTTACAATTTATTGTACGCGTAAGTACACAAAAAATGGATAAATTACAAAACAATACGTAAGTACAAAAGGTGAGGCTTATTCGTAAAGGAAATCTCTTCCAACCCACCTGCGATAGGAGATATATTTAAGTTGTAATAAGTATATTTGTAATGTTTGAGTGTAGTAGGTACGTATTAAAAATTAAATACTGAACAGAGCCATTATTAGATACTTCCACAGAAGAACAGAAAGCCGAGAAAGGTTGAACTTTTTGTCCCTACTTTATTAATAATTTTTTTATTACCCGACTGTCTGGTGGTTCACTAATAATTAAATATATTTTCATAAATTGTACGTGTCTTTGCATACTCGTAACGTGCATCAAAGTAATAAATAATTAAAATCGCGGAGTTTTGACATCAAAATATTATTCAAAAGTATTTTCTATCGAATTTACAGAAATATATCAAAATATAATTAATGAAAAAATGTTTTACATTACATTAAAATCGGTTCAGCCGTTTTCATAAAACACTATTATGGATCTTAGCAATTTATTGCTTTTAATAATTAGATTCAGTTTGCCGCCGGTACATTGTTTATTTCATTGCAATAATTAATTAATCCTATTCTGTTAAAATAGTCATATCGTATAAATAAATAGTCATCGTATCATAGTAGTACTGGATACACCCCTTATTTTCTGTTGTACGGACGTGATATCGAATTGCCAATTGATGAATTCATAAAACCAATACCGATAAAATACGACTATGAGAGCGACTATATAGCGAGAATGCACAACGTGTTCAACGAAGTCAGAGAAAGATTAAAAACGGTATCTGATAAACAGGCGAGTTATTTTAATCGTAAGAGTAAGAAAAGATTATTTGAATTAGGAGATTTAGTACTTCTTAAGGATGTTAGTGTCAAGCCTGGATTGTCACGAAAATTATCTAGAACATGGACAGGACCGTATCGAATAGTAGAAATACTAAATGAAGTAAATTACAAAATTAAAGTTCAAAACGGGTCGCAAACAACTGTTATTCACGTAAATCGATTAAAACCGTTCAAAACCAATTGGAATAAAACTCCTTCAAATCATAACTACTCGGATTATCTACGGAAAAATGATGTGAAGAAAGGTAATAACGAAATTTCGCCAATTAAGGAACCTGATCCAATATATAAGCCTATGACCCTGCCGATGCCAATCTTTAGAACAATTCCTGGGCCATGGAAAATGAGATCTCCAAGAGTACAAGAAAACAGACCATCCTTAACTCCTACTCGAAACGTGAAGGTCGTTCCAACGAGATTGTTTAAATCTCCAGAGTTTGCCGAAGCACTAGAAGAAGATCTAAATAACGAAAATAACATTGAAACGACCGAGAGCAATGAGCTGATGGCCGATACAGAATCTGATAGCAATGTTCCGATTGATAATGATACTAGTTTACCGTTAGCTTTGCGAAGGGGTCGTAGAGATCAAACCTCCGGAAAAACTAACTTATGGCGTCGATCCTTGAATTACACTTCCCTCCTAGGGTATCGGGAGGCTAAAAAAAAGGTTGTGATCCTTGACAGAGATGTTTATATTCAAAAAACCTATGAATTTTTAAATAACAATAATTATAGCAAATTGAAAACCAATCCTTTAGATAAAATAATTAGAAAAAGTAAAGAAGTAATCAACCACTGTAAAGATACTCTAATCGAATATACTCCACACCTTAATAATTCTAAAAATAAGTATTTTTCCACCTCATTGTTTTTACACATGAATTCTAATATTCCTAAACTTTATTCACTCCCTAAATTGCATAAAACTGACATGCCCATCAGGCCTATAACTGCTTTTGGTAACTCCCCCACTCGGAAACTCGCTAATTTCATGTTAAAAATTTTTCAAAATATTAATTTCATTCCTAATTTTACTGTACGTAACTCCATTCAATTTATTGATTCTATCAAAGATGTTAAAATACAAGATGGTATCATGATATCCTTTGATGTGACTAATCTTTATTCTAATGTCCCTATTGATTTCACTTTAGATATAACTTCTAATCTTTTTAAATCCTTTTTCAAAAATAAAAATACTACCATCGAACATCTTAACATAATTCTAAGGCATATAGTTACACAAAATTATTGTTCTTTTAATGACGATTTCTTTTTTGTTGCCGATGGGCTTCCTATGGGAATGCCATTATGGTGACTTTTGGCTGACATTTTTCTGAACCACATTGAAAATAATTTCATTTTAAACAGTGTTAACCCTTATTTTGGGAGAGTTACCAAATGGCTACGTTATGTTGACGATATTTTTTGTTTGTGGACGGGGAGTAATGAAGAATTGGTATGTTTTCACGAATATCTCAATAATTTGCACAAAAACTTGAATTTTACCCTTGAAATAGAGAAAGATAAACAGCTAAAGTTTTTAGATTTAAATCTAAATAGGAAAAACAACAACCTTATTGATTTTAATGTTTATAGAAAGCCTTCAGCCATACCTACTACTATACCTTTTGATTCTGAACACCCTTTAAACCACAAACTCGCTAATTTTCGTTTTCTCTTTAATAGAGCACTTAGTTATCCCTTTTCTCAAATTAATAAAATTAACGAAAATAACTACATATACACTTCGGCATATAATAATAACTTCCCTAAACATATTATTGATAAACTCTTTTACAGAATTCAACAGTAGAGAGACACCCTTCATACTAATAATAAAATTAATAAAATTTATAAACCCATAGTCTACAACCACGTCACTTCCCGTGCCCAACATATCTTTTCAAAATATAATATTTCCCTTGCATACTCTAATAATAATTCTATCATGAAACTTCTTTCTAACTACAACCCTAAAAATTCTGATGTTTTAAAAGAAAGTGGAGTATATTCGATTGGATGCTCTAACTGCGATGCCATATACGTTGGTCAAACGGGACGTGCGCTTGGGACACGTGTTCGCGAGCATAAAAGTAAAGCTAACTCTAACATCTACAAACACCACATTGAAACAGGTCATATTATTAATTACAAAGATATTAAACTATTACATAAATGTAACAAAAGTCATAAACTTGATTTTCTTGAAATTCTTGAAATCGTTAAACATAAAAACAATGAAGAATTTGTACTCTTAAATGATCAACTTCAATTAACACAGAAACCCATATTTACATATTTAAAAGATTTTAAACTTAAATGCTGATTTCCCCTTTCCCTCGCGAACACGTTTCCCGACCTGCGGTTCTTTTTCCGTTAGTCGTTTTAGTCATGGGGTGTTCACTTTAGTGAGTGTCGAGAACCTGATTAAAAACTGTGCTATTAGCTGGAGACAGTCCCCAGAGATGGCGCTTACATCTCAAAGTAGTTAAGGTAGTAAACTTCATTATCGAATATTTGTAAACATGTGGTAAACATGAAAAATTTGACATTTGATACACTAACCTCAACTAACCTTGTATTGTATCAATGTGTATAACTATAAAAATTACTTTAAATTATTACATGTAATTGAATATTTGCGTTTATTTAAAGTACAAATTAAAAATTATATATTATGGTTACATTAATTCACTTATAATTTCACATTCGTTGGTGATAAATGCTTGGGGTCGAAATGCCAGCAAAATTTATTCTTTACTATCATTCTTAAAATTTTGAAGGAAGAGTAAAAATTGGAAAAAGAATGCGGAAATATATTTAAGTAAGTAAACATAATGGTTCTTGAGTGAGATGTTTACCAGCTGTTTATAATATCGTAAGTATAATTGATATGTAAAAAATATTTATTTAACTCCATTATAATAATTCAAGTTTTGAAGAAAAATTGCTTTTTTAATGGGATTAGATAAAACGTTGTTGCTAATATGTTATCAAAAGCTTTGTTTAACTTACATAATTTGGAAATCTAGTGCAATACAATTGTTTTGGCAAATATTATGTTCGTTACATGATATTAGGCTTTTCATAACTATTAACAGCTTTTTAGAGAAATTCTTAAATAAATTTTGTTTCAATATATAGCACATAACAATGGTACGCTACCGCACGTGCGCTGTTAAGGGTTGTGAAGATAAGGTGTCTTCTAGACATTTATTTCCAAACCCAGAGAAATTTCCAGAGACATTTGATGCTTGGGTAAAAGTATGTGGAAATAACGACTTAATGGGAATGGATTCGAAGGAGTTATACCGCAAAAAGAGAGTTTGTAATGCTCACTTCACGTCTGCCGATATGTTCTCAAATAACCTTCTAAGGAAGAATGTTATACCTAGTTTGAACATACCAACTCCACCGCAAGACCAAGTTCTTGTTGAGTTAACTGAAAAAGGTAATAATTTATTTTTTTTTACAAATATAAGGAATCTTATAAAGTGATATACTTTATGATATAAACAAAGTCAATAATTTTTTAAAATGCGTTAAATTCATGATAAAAAACAAAAAAATTATGGTCTCACTTGCTCTACCATATGATCGCATTTACCACAACTCGCCTTATTATAATTTTATATTATTTTAATTTTAAATTATTTGTAAAATTACTGATATTATTACATATAATGTATTATATAGTGTTTATTAATTTCAGTAGTACATGAAGTTGCTTTAACGTCATACCGATGTATCGAACATGATTATACAAAACAGATGGAAGATACCCCATTGCTAGAAGGTAACTAAATTAATACTTTTCTACAATTATAAAACTAATGATTTTTTTTTTATTTTGTTTCAGATAATATACCTTCAACAAGTACTCAAGAGTTTGTATCTCCAACAAGAAAACGTAAGTTATGTGTTCCTACGTCATCTCCACCACTATAATACAACCAATAATTGTGAAAATGGACGGTGGTCAAAGTAACTTAGAAAGACTTTTAAAAGTATGTAAAGTGATAGTAACATTCATATTGGTAAATATTACAAAAATTGCGAAAATTATTATTTTCTTTTAAAATTGCTTATAAATTGGTTATTTGCTGCTATAATTTAATTTTTTAATTTGCTTGTTGTTTTTTTAATGCATTGGTTGTGTTTTTGCATGGGTAGCTCATTTGCTGTTATACAGCTATAATGATTAAAATATTGATGTTATATTTTGTTATTAGACACAACTTCCATATTAAAAGAGGTTGGTGTCCAAAGAGAAAAAGATTTATCCCCTAAGGCACAAAGACTGTACAGAAAAAATATACAACTAAAAAGAGGCATTTGTAGATTAAAACGATCTAATTTACAATTAAAAAGAAGGACGCATGTGTTTACAAAAGCAGAGATGATTAAAAGAGTGACAGATGATTTGGTACCACATGTCGCGGATTTTATAAAAAGCCAAATTCGCTTGAGTGGGAAACATCCACAAGGTAGAAGATACACATTAAATGAGAAATGTTTAGCACTTATATTATATAAGCAAAGCCCTCAAGGCTACAGATTATTTTCCAAATTGTTCGCTGTGCCAGGGAGGAAAACCATGACAACAATGTTACAAAATATTCCTTTAAGTGTAGGAATTAATAAAGAAATTTTAAATAATTTAAAGGACAGTATTACCACTTTTTCGTCAGATGAAAAAATATGTGTTCTGTTTGACGAAATGGCGATATAATCGCATGTTTCATTTTGTATGAAAACAAAACAATTTTGTGGTTTTGAAGATCTTGGTGATGATGTTTCGTCACCAAAAATTGCTAATCATGCGATCGTTTTTATGTTAAGAGGCGTTACCAGGGATTGGAAGCAACCTATTGCGTTTGGGTTTACACAGAGTTCGATTAAAACAATTGATTTAGTAAGAAAAATCAAAGAAATTGTCAAACAATGTGAGAATATTGGATTGCGAATTATTGCAAGCGTTAGCGACCAAGGGGCATCAAATATGGCAGCAATAAATTATTTAATGAAACAATCATTAAATGAAGTAGAATATCGAAACAGAAAATGTTATAAAGTAAACAATGACATCATTTATCATATATTTGATCCTCCACACCTAATCAAAGGCGTGAGGAACAATTTATTAACAAAAGATTTAGTGTGTAAGGACAAAAATATTGTTAATGTTGCCAAATGGGACGACATATATAATGTATATATGCTTGATAATGCCGCTGGGGAATTAAGCATTCTCACAAAACTAACAGAGGAGCATTGTGTACCGAACAAAATTAAAAAAATGAAAGTATGTATCGCAACACAGACTCTCAGCCATTCTGTAGCGGGTGCTATAAATGCTTTAATAAAATCAGGTAATTTATTATACTGTTTTATTTTGTTATTTTATAATAAACATAAATGTTAATATTTTGTTTGTAGAAACCGCGGCTGGTACAGCCCAAATTCTAAACTTTTTTGATAAGTTGTTTGACAGTGTCAATGGAAACTCCGTGTACCCTCCAAGAAAAAAAGAATTGCGGTGTGCATTGACACATAATTCACCCCATCATCAATTTTTTGATTATGCGAAGGTTGTGCTGAAAAATATGTGGTTTAAGAAAGGACAACAAGAGAGCATTCCACCATCATTAACCTTCGCTTGACTGAAACCGGGTCAATGTTGACCCGGTTTCAAGAAATTTAGTTTTTTTCCTTGTAACTTGCTAAATATTTTTTTTTAGTTTTTTTCCTTTTTTGAATTTTTCTAAAATATCGTATTGAAACATAAGCAATAATAACCAAAACGAAAATTAACGCAGTTCAAGAATAAATTGCATTTTGTTGCAATGGGTCAGCTGTGACCCGGTTTTGGTATACTGTGTTTTATTTTTTCTTAATTCTAACGAACTTATTTCATGCAAGTTAAGACTTGTTTTTCAATTCAGTTTACTTCCGTACGTGCCAGTGTAATGTAGTGTTTGTGGTTCATCGTAGCAAAATAGTACAATGGCATATAAAAAGGCGTTATCGGACGACGAACTTTTTCAAAATCTTATCAATGATTCGGAAGACGAAAATGAAAGGGAGTTGATGATTGAGGAAGTATTTAGTGATAGTTCTGAAGAAGTAGAAGATGTTATAGAAGAAAATGAAAATATTGATGATGATGACGACAATATTTTATCTAGTGAGGAAAACGATATTAGCGATGAAATTGAGGAAGAATTAGATCGTAATATTGAAGTTGCTGGTCGCACATGGAAATACATAGCTCAAAAACAAAGGAAAACAAGAGCAGCAGATTGTATTCGCAAAGAAAAAGGTTTGACAGAGAAAAGCAAGGATATCGAATCGATTCTGGATTGTTTCTTTTTATTTATTTCTGACGAAATTTTTGAAATTATTGTAAAATTTACTAATCAAAGAGCAAAAGAAATTATAAGTAAATATAATGAGACTCATGAAGACAACTTATTCAAATCATGGCAAGACGTAGATGTTACGGAAATACGTGGTTTCTTTGCAATACTAATTTTATCAGGAAGATTTAGAGAAGCAAAAGAAAACCCAGTTAATTTGTGGACTTCAACAAATATATCTTTATCAAGACCAATATATCAAGCTTGTATGAGCCGAAATATATATTGCGATATTTTACGCTTCCTTCGTTTTGACGACATTTCCACAAGAACAGAGAGAAAAAGTCTAGACAAACTTGCTCCAATTCGCGATGTTGTTGATAATTTCACAAAAAACTGCAGAGATTCATATTGCCCATCAGCATTTGGAACAATAGATGAGCAGCTGGTAAGTTATAGAGGCCGTTGTCCATTTAAGGTTTATATACCCAGCAAGCCCGGCAAATATGGGATAAAAATTTGGACATTATGTGATGCGACAACATTTTACTGCTGTAATTTAGAAGTTTACTTAGGTAAAAAGGGAGGATCAGCTGAACAAAATCAAGGACCTCGCGTAGTAAAGACTTTAGCAAATCATTGGTATGGAAGTGGCCGCAATATAACGACAGATAATTTTTTTACTGATTTAACTCTTGCGGAAGAGCTTCTAAAAGAAAAACTAACTTTAATTGGAACTATGCGCAAAAATAGAAAGGACTTACCAAAGAGTCTTTTGGATATAAAATCACGTGCAGTATATTCGTCTGATTTTCTCTTTACTAGAGACTTAACATTAGTGTCCTATGTTACTAAACCAAAAAAATTTGTAATTTTACTTTCCTCTACCCATCACGAACATGACATTGCTGATGAAAACGAAAAATTTAAACCTGATATCATTCTGGCATATAACAAAACAAAAAGTGGCGTAGATGTTTTGGACAAACTTGTGCGTGAGTATTCATGCAAAAGAAATACGAGAAGATGGCCACTTAGACTATTTCTCAATTTGATTGACATAGCATGTTATAACGCGTTTGTTTTGTGGACAATAAAAAATCCGGAGTGGCACAGTGATTCATCCATAACATATCGAAGAAAAATATTTCTTCAAGATTTGGGAATGGAACTTGCTAGGACACAAATTGAAAGAAGAGTAAAGAAAATTGAAGAAGATGGTCGGGGTTTTACAAATTTGGTGACCACAGCTATAGAAAGTNAAATTAAACGTATGGGTGGGAATTTGTGCAGATCACATAATTGGACCTTTCTTTATTCGAGGTACTCTAACTGGTCACCGTTATTTACAATTATTGCAACAGCAAATTATCCCAGCTTGCCAAGAAAATCTTGATGATCTTTGGTTTCAACAAGATGGGGCACCGCCCCACTATCATTTAGATGTACGCCGATATTTAGATACGGTATTTCCGGCCCGTTGGATAGGCAGAAGAGGGTCTGTAGAGTGGCCACCCCGATCTCCGGATCTTACACCTTGCGATTTCTTCTTCTGGGGATATTTAAAATCTAAAGTTTATGTAAACCGACCTCAAAATCTGACAGAATTAGAGCAACGAATAAAAGATGAAGCTGCAGCTATTTCTCCCAGATCGCTAAGAAATTCTTTTCAAGCCTTTTATGATAGATTGGGCCACTGCCTTGCAGTTAATGGTGAACATTTTGAACATTTATTGTCGTGAAAACCATTTTAGTGCTAATTTCGTTTTGTCTTCAAAGTTTAATAATTTTCATTTACACTAATTTTTAGTTTATTTGTTTTATTTTGTATGTAGATTTAATTTACGGTAATAATTCGAGGTAGTTGACGATCTCGGATATCTAGATTAATGTTATTGGTTAAATTTTCTTAATAAACAATGTTTACATTTTATGCAAAAATTTTCTGATGTAAGGGTACAAAAATTTTACGTCATCATAAAGAGAAAAGAAATCTCTATCAAATAAGCCTAATAAAAGGGTACATTGCCATTTAAAAAAAATTAAATGTTATTCGTTGCTCATTTGTTTTCTGAAATAAAAACAATTGAATGGTGTCTTATTATGGCAAATAAAATACTAACCAACTTTTGTATAAAATGTTTTTTTATAAAGTTGATACTTGCCAAGATATATACAATATTTCATACATAATGGGCACCCTGTATAAGCAAATACATATTATGTAAAAAAATTAGGTGTATGTACGAATGTGAACACTGCAAAAATAATTTAGTATGTATTAATAGAAATGAGGACTGGTTAGTATTTATGGAAGAGATCAAGTGTGATGTAGATATACCATATAGATTAAAATATGCCACACCAGAGTTTATTAACAGTCTATTTCAATTATATAGAATTATAATGGTAAATTTACCTAAATTTGCAATGAAAAAAATTACCTATGAGTTCTTAACACAGGAATTGAGTAAGATCATTCGATTTAGATTCAAATTTAATTGTAAACATTCAGAAATAATGAAAAAAAAATTATAGAACAGTTCACATTATTATGTATTAATAATTGGGCCGTGGGAATTAATAGAATACTAAATAAAAAAGATAATAGATATAAAGGAAACGATCCTATTTATAAATCGGCAATAAGTTATAGTAGTAAACATAAATAATTTATAACAAAATTGTTTTTTATTCTTTCACCTATCCTATTAAGAAATTAATTGTTCTTCTTGATTATTTCTATTTATAAAATAATATTATGTTATTAAAAATTATTATCATAAACTTTTATTTTTATAAATTTTTAATAATATAATATTATTTTATTAACAGAAATAATAAAGAAGAAATTTGTTAATATAGGATTTATTTCAGATTAATAACTAGACTATATGGCACCAAATTAGTTGGAGATAGTGTCCATAGATGGCGCTAATACGGTTTAATTTCTAATACATTGTGTTGCCTACCCCTGGTTTTAGTCTCTTCTCTTCTCGTACCTCCTACGCATCGCTGCGAGACTTCTAACGTATTTTTAAATGTTTCTAACGTTTTTCGGCCTTTTACCTTAAAAGTCTCGCAGCCTATGCTAAATTTATCATTTTCGCCTTTTCGTATGTTTTTATATTTTTAAATTGTTCGTATCGTTAACCGCTTTATATTTTAGATTTAACCTCTTATAAATAATTTTTTTGGTCTTCAACCACGTTTTACCTTTTGACCTTCATAATATATTTTTGCTGCGCATTAAGATTTTCTCCGTTTCAACATGTTTAAAAATTTTTGATAATATTTTTGGTAATGTTTTTCTCAATTGTGAACTTCATTTTTGACTGTAAGTTTTTTATTTTATTTTAACATAATTAATTTTTCCTAATTATAAAAATTCTTGTAGTTTTCGACTGAAGATGAGGTAACACCTCGAAACTAGTATCGAAGCAAATAATAAAAAACAAGTAAGAGGTTAATGTTGATTTTTCATTATTTATATACACCTTGCAACATGCATAATTACAACATAAAGAAAAGGAGGCCGTGCCCTTGGGGCGTAGTTCATAAAAATTTCTTTTCATTGCAGACACTCGCGAGGCATCACTCAACTGCGGGATGGAATTATTTGATAATCCCCCGTAGTAAAATTTTTTTTTTACGTATTGTGGCCTATGGGTGATGCCGTACTACCAGCTCTAGTCAGGCTGTCGACTCTTGAGTAGAGCTAGGGCCACCGCTGGTATTTTATGTGGTTTAACACCAGTGCAGTTTAAACCAGTGTGGGAGGATTAGCGAAGGAACAGATGTTCAGTCCTTCGCTAATCTGGGAAAAGAGAAATCCTTTCCTATTTTTCTTTCTTTTCCTTTCTTACTTTATTGTTTTGTAACGTTCGTAATAGTTGTATTATTCAGTATAACCGTTTTGTTTCGTCTCATGAATTGAAATATTAATGTCAATTAGAGTAATTTTATTTATAAGATAACGTCGTTACGTTTGGAAGAATAGATTGTCGAATCACAATGTTCATTGTGATTCAAAATATGTGCAGGAAAATGGATCATGGTTTTCATGGTGGTGGTAACTGAGGTTGCAGCAAATATAGCATACGATTGTAGTGCTCCGACGACCAATATTACAGGTCCCCTTAGTTTTTCATGGTATACTTGATAAAGAAGGCAGCACTCTGACTGTCGGATGTGTCGATTCCGTTTTGGAGCACCCTTGAGCACCGTCCTTGAGGTGTCTTTGCCGTTAAATGGTCCGGGAGGCCCCATCCATCCAGGATTAAATCTTATAGGGCATTTAAATCTGATGAATTTTCCCGTCTCTAAATATAGGCAACACCATCTTTTGGGAAATTACCATAATCTATTGATTGAGTTAATTCATGGTGTTTTTGAAATCCAATCGCTTATTTTTGGTTTATAGTCACGTCGAGTTCGATAACTTTTTCTTTTCGACGTTTGATGTGATTGAAAGAGAATTCTTTTCGATTAAGCGGTGTCATTTTGGTTATCCAGAAGACTTTTTGAAAAATCGATTGCGTTTTTAAAATAATGATGATAATAATGATGAAAATAATGATGATAATAATAATAATAATGACAATAATGGTAATAATAATGATAGTAATAATAATATGAAGAGGAAATTGCTTTTAAGATTTATAATGCCTCTGGAGAGAATATTAAATAATTTACTAACGATGATTGGACCTGTGACACAGGTGACCATAAAAGATACCAACGATAAATATGTGGGCGTGGAACATCGTATTTCTGCTCTCAGCATTTTAAAAAAAGAAGTTTCGCTTGCTAAGATGCAATCCGATTTGGAATCGAACGAAACGCGATTCAAAGCATTTTAATTAGACGGTTACAAGGAAAAGATACGCATGGGAGTAATATAGACGTGGTAAATCTATTCAACCCCAGTGAGTTACGAAAATGTGCGAAAAGTACCCTATCAGACCTATGGGGTTGGTTTACGGCAGTGGGTATGGCTATCAGTGGTTTCATTGGAATTATAGTTCTATTCCGTTTCTTAAAAGGGTTGGCTAGCGTAATACTACATGGTTACGCTCTATATCGAACAATGGGTTGTGGATTGATTATTCTGGCCAGTCTCTGGAATAACTTAACCATGTGGTTGTTAAACAAACATAGACCACAGGCGAACAACCCTGATCCAGAAGTACCCTTAATACCTATTCCTGAGGACGCGATTCCCACTATACCGAATGCTTCGTCCGAACCATAAACGATGGCTCCAAAGAAAACCTTTTATCCGTCTGTAACCGAAATACCAACATGGATGAGACCATCAACATCTACCGAGTAGAGGGTTCTAGCCCAGCTGATCTACAAAACAAGGAGAGTGTTGTGATGAGTCTCGCGAAGTGTTCGAGTGCGCGATAGTCATTTTCAGAAGTGATAATATTCACCTTTAGTGATGCTAGTTAAGGACTATAAGTAAATATAGAATTGATTATTGTATCCATTAATTTTGTTGTCAGATAAGATCAGGCAACCACCTATGTTGCCTTTGCTAAATATACGAATAGGTGATTGCATGATAAGAATTGAAAAAGAAACGCAACTATAGTAGCGTTCTTTCGCAGACCCGCAGATCCGCAGACCTGTTCAAATTTTGTCAATTAATTATTGATATTTGCTATTCATTCTCAAATAGAGGGGGATCGCTGCTCGACTCATCCTTCCCTTCCTTTTCTTTTGTCTAATTGTTATAGTTGTAATTGTTTGATTGGTTAAACCACGCGTTGACCAATAAGATTATTCTTAGAGTTAAGAGCGTTCAGGGGGAAAAACGTTTTCCTTTTGTTTTCCTTCCCTCTCTTTTGTTTAATTGCTGATGTTGCAATTTCTAATTGGTTGAGCCATGTGTTGGCCAATCAGGACTTTCCTAGAGGAAAGAGAGTCCAGGGGGTAAAGGTTTAAATTTTAAGGAGGAGCGCCTTTTGAGGCAGTGCAGATCAGGTTTGGATTTAAATTAATTTCTTCGGCGAAGCACCCTATTCGGTTTCGGTTAAGAGTCTTACAAGGGAAGTATCAGGACTGTCCCTCACCGATTTTGTTGAAATTTGGTACAGCGATAGTATAGCCAAAAATAAGGTTTACGTATTTTTTATACGTGCTAATAAAGCCCCTGGGGCTAGTTATAAGGGTTGGAAATCGGGGCGAAATATATATATTTGCTTATAGGCTGAAAACGAAATTAGCTATCGAAATGTGGTAAATGTAAACTGATATTCATTTTCAAAGAGCTTTCCATTGATGTATCACACATATATCTGAGGGCTTCAGGGGGTAAACTACCCCTAGTTTTTTGGAATATTTTAAAAACTACCCTGTCGATTTTGGCGATATTATGTGTCCTTATAGTACGTTTAAAAATATTAATGACGTGTTTTTTCTTATTTGCCTCTGACCATCCCCTGCAAAGTTACGGGGTATGATAGATAACCCCTTTCCTTAAGAATAATGTGATAAACTGTTACACTTTTGAACAATATTTTGAAGAAAACCATTAATTAGATGTAAATTAAGATTTACGCAGTAAAATAAACCCTATACGACATTAAGGGGTGGCTGGGGTTAACTACCCTAACCACCCCAAAAATTATTTTTTTTTGCGAAAATTGTTTGTCGATTTTGGTGCAATTTACCACGATGATTTTTTTATACGTTAGGTAGTACTATTGTAAGAACTTACAAGGGTTAGAAGTTTGGGGTAGAAAATATATTTTCGCTAATAACTTTCATACTCCTACAGAAAAAGCTTTTTTATCCTTATTCTATTTAAATAACACAAAAGTTAGGATAATTATATAAATATTTATTAATAATGAGTTAAAAAGTAACTGACAAAAGAATGGTTGACTATCACAAATTGTATTCTACATTATTAATTTAATTTCTTTTTTTTTACTTTTTTTATTCAATATATTGTTGGCAATAATGAAAATCATGGAAAAAATGTTTTAAACACAACGATTGTTTACACCATGCACAAGTTATAACAGCTATATCTCCACAGATATCGCACGTAGGTTTTTCATTGGAAAAGCAAACCTCCACGGGATTTTCAAACTGTTCTGGTCTCTCCTCTATATATCCAGATGCAAACTAGGCGTATTTAAAAACATTAATAAATCGTGGGGGAGACAACTGGTTATGCGTTAAGGATTGCAATTTTAAAATGTTATCTCGCTGATGCAAATTGACATCGTACTGGTAGAGAATAACTTGATCAGAAAATCTTCTAATGAAATTATTCCATATTCTAAAACTAAATACATCCAGGGGTTGAATTTGACCTGTTGGCAGTGGCCACTCCAAGAATCCAGTAATAGTAATAATTTGGGTCCGGTGTTTGGGAAATAGACATTTTGTAGCCAATTTTTCATATGAGCAGAAGTCAGTTTACCAGACTTTGATGCCAAAACGAATATGTTATCTGCTTTGAACATTGTATTTATTACCCTCGGTCCAAACGTACCAGAGGATTCTAACAATGTAGAATACAATTTGTGATATTTAACCATTTTTTTTCAGTTGCTTTTTAACTCATTATTAATAAATATTTATATAATTATCCTAACTTTTGTGTTATTTAAATAGAATAAGGATAAAAAAGCTTTTTCTGTAGGAGTATGAAAGTTATTAGCGAAAATATATTTTCTACCCCAAACTTCTAACCCTTGTAAGTTCTTACAATAGTACTAACGTATAAAAAAATCAGCGTGGTAAATTGCTCCAAAATCGACAAACAATTTTCGCAAAAAAAATGTATTTGGGGTGGTTAGGGTAGTTAACCCCCGCCACCCCTTAATGTCGTATAGGGTTTATTTTACTGCGTAAATCTTAATTTACATCTAATTAATGGTTTTCTTCAAAATATTGTTCAACAGTGTAACAGTTTATCACATTATTCTTAAGGAAAGGGGTTATCTATCATACCCCTTAACTTTGCAGGGGATGGTCAGAGGCAAATAAGAAAAAACACGTCATTAATATTTTTAAACGTACTATAAGGACACATAATATCGCCAAAATCGACAGGGTAGTTTTTAAAATATTCCAAAAAACTAGGGGTAGTTTACCTCCTGAAGCCCTCAGATATATGTGTGATACATCAATGGAAAGCTCTTTGAAAATGAATATCAGTTTATATTTACCACATTTCGATAGCTATTTTCGTTTTCAGCCTCGCCCCAGGGGCTTTATTAGCACGTATAAAAAAATACGTAAACTTTATTTTTGGCCATACTATCGCTGTACCAAATTTCAACAAAATCGGTAAGGGACAGTTCTGATACTTCCCTTGTTAGTGAAAAGTCCGAGTAAGACTCCGGTAATTCTTAAGTTTGATGTAAGTTATTTAATTAATAATTATTAATTCACTTTTATTCGATCGGATTAAAATTAAAGTGTTACACTTTTTAACGAGTTACTCCTCTCAATATGATCGCTTTGACCCTTGGTAAGTCGTTAATGTTTTATTTTAATTGCTTTGACTTTTTCTGATTTGGTATGAACGTACGTAATATTTGATATTCTTTTTGAATTATTCTTTTTATTAAACTGATCATTTTATAATTGTTGAACTTAGATTTTTTTTTAATGTTTTTAATTAAATTTGCTTATACAGATTTTCAAGTAAAGTCAGGAAAATTACTAGATTAAAATTTCTTTTGTTGTTAATCAATATAAAGTTTTCGAGTTATTTTTGTAGTTAAACTTTGTTTGATCCAATTTATTTCAATTTTAATTCTGTTTATTAATTTTAGATTGTATTTTATTTCTTTTGCTATTGTTTTTGTTTGATTTCAACTCATTAAATTTAGTATTTAAATTTAACTTGATTTCTATTATTTTTCTTAATTTCATTTAGCTTTGCTCCCTAAATCCAAGCCGGCGTGACAAGGTTCTGCTTGTCGCATACGCCTTTAGCACGCCCACACAACAAAGTAAGAGCCGCTCCTTACAGATGGAGTGACGCAAAGTTTATATATAAGAGGTTGTCTAGGTTCGTACGCAACCATACTGCGCATTACGCCATAGGCAGAAAATAATACCGCGAAGCAATTCAATTTTTAAAATAATGTAATTGAATTATTTTAATGTATTGAGTGTGGTATATAATTAACTGCGGTAGTAAAATGGAAAATAATTCAACTTAATTTTTGATATAAATTCACTTATCATAAAATAATTGAGGGAAAGTAAAGTAGTAATTAATTTATGTTATACTAGAGAAGACACTTCAACTCTCAGTAAACATGAACCTGAGGTTACGCGCGCAATACGTCGTCACTTACGACACGAAACACTCCAGCTCTTGCCCCTCAGCCACAAACTAAACTAAAAGTATTGCAGTATATGAACTTAGACAACCTTTAATATATAAACCTTGGGAGTGACGACGGGGATCTGTGAGCGGTATCACACACATGTAAGTTATACCTGTGCTGGAATTAATTTGAATGATTCAAAGTAATTATGTGAACAGTTACATAACATTCAGTATTAGGAGTTACATTTTGGGAACTTTAATAAAACAAATTAGCAAAAAAAGTAGATCCCAAAAATGTACAGGTTGCACATACACATGCATTCCACAAAGAATTATTCAAATTCTCTGGAAATCATTCTTAGTAGAACACTTGCGTACCTATCCATAGCACAGCCATAAAAGACTGGTTCCCAATTATATTTCACAAATATGAAGTCATTGAGACATATCAGCAGCATATTGTGGAAATAATATACAAGTTTATGTTGGTCTGATAAGAAATCTCATATGGCAGTGGAAAGTTACGTCCAGCATCATTTTCATTTTTCGAAATTAACTTGATAGACCTACTGAGCAGCCTGGAGTGATGCAAAGTACTTCGTCTGTTTCCATTAAGATGATAACTGATAATGATCATAATGAAACAAAATTGAATCCGAATGATTTGCAGTCAAGCACCTCTGCGGTTGAGATTCAGATTAATAAAAATGATCGTACTAATAATGCTCATAATGGATCTAAAAAGCGGTCAAGTGCTTCTATTGTTGGTAACGAGGTGACAACTGACAGTAATAATCGTAATCCACCTAAACTGCCTAGTAATTCGCTGCCAAATACTTCGTCAGGAGTTAATAATCACGGTGATCATAATCAAGATTTGTACACAATCACAAGAACTGGAATAACAAAATTTAATTTGCGAAAAATTCCAAAAATACGGAAGAAAGTAGTGAGTATGAAGTATCAGAACGTTCTTCAGAGAGTAATTGCTCATCCATAGAGTCGGAGAAGAAAACACCAATACTGAGCATCCACTGAGACCACTAGTGCCAGGCTGTAATCCAAGATTCTCTACAGAAAAAAGTAAAAAGCAAGAACACGAATATAAATAGAGATATATTTCAGAATTTAATATTCTGAAATATATCTCGAAAAGATCTCATCTGAACCTGTTTAGCCAAGACAAATCCTTTTCGAACAATCATTATGGACATTGAGCATCATCACTCAACTATGATGGCAACATGATGTTCTTAACATTCAAAACATTGAGTGCAACTTTTATTATTAATATTTGGGTTCTGGGTTATAATTTTAAAAATGATACATGATGAATTATGTGAACAGTTACATAATATCCAGTACACAGAAAAATAAGCAGACTTATAAGGACATAACATTCAGTATTAGGAGTTACATTTTGGGAACTTTAATAAAACAAATTACCAAAAAAGCAGATCCCAAAATGTACAGGTTGCACATACACATGCATTCCACAAAGAATTATTCAAGTTCTCTGGAAATCATTCTTGGCAGAACACTTGTGTATCGATCCATAGCACAGCCATAAAAGACCGGTTCCCAACTATATTTCACAAACATGAAATCATTGAGACATGTCAGCAGCATATTGTGGAAATAATATAAATGTGTATATTATTGCATGTTGGTCTGATAAAAACCCATATGTGACAGTGGAAAAGTCACGTTCAGCTACAATTTTCATTTTTCGAAATTGATGCTGAAGGAAGTTTCATTGAATATCAAACAAAATATTTACTATCAACGTAATGGCCCCACTTTAGTTGCACAATGATTGACCATCATAAATCCATGTGGTTCGCACACAAGCTGAAACAAAAAGAAAAACATGTAAGTAATAGTGTCCGACCGAAGATTCGGTTTTGGTTTCAGCCAGTTTCGGCCAAAATACGATTTTCGGCCAAAAATCGACCAAATGTTCGGTAAAAACCGAAACTTCGTTCGTCGAGTGTCGGTTGGTGTTCATCTATTCTCGTATCTGCTTTGACTTGCGCATACGGCTGTTTCTTCTTGTTTCAAACAAGTGGAAACAAGCTGTTTGCAAAAAGTTCGTAAATAAAGAAAGACTAGGTATGTATATACCCATATTAAATTAGTTTAAAATGTTGTCAACATATGTGATCCATTCGCGCGATTTTACGAAAGAGGACTTAGTGTGAAGGGCTAGTGATAATTTGATTTGATACATGTTAACATTGAAAACAGAATAATTTTTTGAAATGGATATACAGTAATTAAAAAAATATAAATTTTTTTGTTACACATAATTTAGTTGGTTTTAAAAATTTTTGTATTAAAACCCCATTATTTGTAAATTAATTAAATTTATTTAATCTATTTATGACCCTCATTAGGTAACATTAGTTGTCATTTCCGCAAGATTTTGCTCGTATAAATTTAAAAACTTCAACTATATGTGAAAAATATAGTTGAAGTACCATTTTACTATACACTATTATCACAGATCATACAGATGCGGCACTCAGAAAGAGAGGGTCATTTCAAGACAGAGACAGGTACGAAACCAATTTAAAGGTCCAACGAAAACAATCGAATGAATATTCAGCTACTTCCGACAATTAGGTCGACCCACAATATCTCTAGATCAATAACAACTTATGATTTCAAAATGTGTGCATGCAAGTAATTTTGTTTACTTCAAATTGATGAATAATCCCATGTTTGTAATTCCTTGCCTTTCTGACCGTTATTACGTTTTTATTTCACAGTGTTTTTATTTAGTGTTGTTTTACTTACATTACAAGCTAATTGAGTAATTATTATTTAAACATTGTTTTAATGGAACCAATAGACGAAGGAAAAACCAACACAGAGAAATCTATACATTCATTAAATGACGGGGTAATTTGCAGTTATAGGGTGTAAATCTACATTTTATAGGGCGAAAAAGAAAAGCGAGAATATAAAATTTTTTCGATTTCCAAAAGATAACAAAATATGTAATTTATGGCTAAAAAATAGTGGTCGACAAGATTTAATGAAATTTGATACATGTAAACTTTATAAATCCTATCGCATATGTAGTCTTCATTTTGGTAACGATATGTATTTGGGCCCTGACAAAACACGACTGTTATCTCAAGCTGTACCGTCTGTATATATTCAACCATTACTTGATCGCTCGACGTCATCAACACCTGCGTTAGAACCACCACAAAAAATAAAAATTTTACAAAATATTCATGTATCAATTCCAGTCACAGACCCAACATTAGAATCGTTTGAGTCCTCACCGATGTCTCCTCTGAGGACACAAACAATAAAAGGACTGTCCACGGATACGTCTCCATCAATGTCTCCCATGGGGACACAAACATCAAAAAAATTGTATACAGATACGCCCCGAAAACGAAAACTATCACTAGTGATAAAAGATCTTCAAGAAGAAAACATTTTTCTAAAAAAACGAATTCAGGAGTTGGAAGAAAATACTATAAAACCACCACTAGATATTAATTTATGGAAGAATATGTGTGACAAATTTTTAACGCCGGAAATGTCAAAATTTATCAAAATACAAGGAGAGCTGTCAACAAAAAACAGTCACGGTCACCGGTACTCCAACGAATTCAAGAAATTTGCGCTATCTTTATATTTTTTGGGACATAAATGTTACAGATACCTAAGAAGAAGTTTTGTTTTACCTTCCAAGAGAGTCCTCGAAAGATATGCGGCCAAAGTTAGACTTGTTGAGGGTGTAAACCCAATTTCGTTTGAAATTTTAAAAATTAAAGTGAATACTATGAGTGAAAATGACAAAATCTGTGCTCTGTGTGTTGATGAAATGAACTTAAAATTTAATTTATTTTATAACTTTGGTAATGATGAAGTTGTGGGTTTAGAATCTGATGGAAAAATTAGAATCAACAAGCCGGCCCATTGTGTCACTACTATAATGGCTTGAGGTGTACTAAGTCAATGGAAACAACCTTTAGAGTATGAATTTATTCATACAAGCATGGATGCACAACATCTTAAAGCTGTATTAGCACAATATGTAACCCTATTAACAAAAATTGGCTTAAAAGTTGAAGTCCTTATATCAGATATGGGAACAAACTTAATGGAATTATCATCTTTATTAAACGTTACGCCAGATAATCCTAAAACAACACTTCATGGTCAAGAAATATTTTATTACTTTGATCCCCCACATATGATTAAAGCTATCAGAAATATGATGCTTAAAAACAGATTTTGCTGGGATGGTTATCAAACATCATGGAAATATATTGTGGATTTTTACAACAGCGATAGTAAACTACAAAATCGCTTAGCACCTAAATTAACGAAGCAACATTTAGACAATTAACGCTTTACTAAAATTATGGAAACATCTAAAACATAAGTACAATGCTAAATGTATTTATACTAGAAATTTAAATCAGGATTGCCTTGAAAACTTTTTTGGTAGTATCAGACAACAGTGTGGCAATGCAATAAATCCAACACCAATACAATTTCGAAGAGCCTTCAGAAAATTATTCCTACTATCTTTTTTTCACTCGGAACACATGAACTGCACCAAAGACTTCAATAAACTATTAATACATTTAGCCCAATATAAACCCGAAGATTATCCACCGATTACTGATACTGATAAACCTGTTAAATGTTTTCAGATTAATCACACAACATATTCTCAAAAAACGTTACCAGAGCAAAATACCTTCAAGTATGTAGTCGGATATTTAATTAACAATTGTTTAAATGTTCATACTTGTAATGTGTGCAAAAGTTTTGCTGTAGCCGATGCAAATTTAAACGACTCTAATGTTTTTTTGTATTACAAAGCATATCAAACCAAGTATAATCCCTTTGGAGCGTTAAAGATACCCCATGAATCCTTTTATAATTATATTTATTGTTTAGAAAAAATATTTTTTACTTACATAGACAAATACATCACTAAACAAGGTGTAGGGCAAGCGCTGTATTTGTTGTGTAAAGGAATTAGGGATTTTACTCACACCTGTCCGTATTTCCCTTTGGATTATTTAATCAAATTATACATAAGGTTAAGAATTTATTATGTAATGAAATACTCAAATAGAGATTTTAAAACACAAACAAAAAAAGATAGGAAGTTAACCATTTTTATGAATTTATAATAAATTTTTGAAAGTTTAAGCTTTTTATTTCTTATTTATCTATTTTTAACATGATATAGTAAACACTAATATTTGTTATGTTTTTGAGTGTTCTGAGATAATTTTATTTTAATTGATCATAATTTTATTATAAATTAAATATATATTAGATACTTAAGTACATTTTAGCTTTCATAAATATTTTTATGTTTGAATTTGGCGCCTTTTCTATAAACCTATTTAAAGGGCTCTGAGAATGAAGGTCAACCGCCCCACTCCTGAAACATGAAAGGTGCCGCTCGGAGTGCCGCATCTGTATGATCTGTGCTATTATAAACTTAATCACGGTGATAAACTGAGGTTATGTTTAGATCCTCATGAACTCAATAAAGTTATCCAGAGAGAATATTAATTAATCCCTACATTTGACGACATTTATACAAAGCTTTATAATAAAAAATTCTCTAGTGTATTGAACATTAAAAAAGGCTTTTGGCATCGAGTCCAGAAATCTTTGTCCATTTAGCTCACGATTTGGGTACTATAAGTTTTTGAGATTACCTTGCGGGTTGAACTGTACACCGGAAGCTTTTATAGAACTCAATAATAAATATTTTAGTAATATTGATAAAGATGACATAATAATCTATTTTAACGATATTCTTATAACGATAGAAACAAAGGAGAAACATGATAAACTCGTAAAACAAATAATAGAAAACGCTAAAAACTTCAACGTCAAATTCAATCAAGAAAAATTTATTTATAAACAAAATGAAATAAAATATTTCAGTCACATTTTTAATTGTTTTTAATGCAGACGGTGTTACGGCTGACAAAGATCATATTGAGGCTGGCTATTTTAAAATTGAATAACCCTGAATCAAGAAAAGAACTTCAGACTTTTAGGATTGTTTAATATTCTAAGACAATATATTCCCAATATGGCAGAAGTTAGTGCTCCTCTCAGAGAGCTCCTTAAAAAGGACATCGCTTGGCATTCGAATGGGATATATAGTAAAACAGTAGAATGTTTAAAAAAGATTCTGACAGAAAGAACAATTTAAGTCAGTTCAATCCAAATTTCCCTGTAGTTATTCAATGTGATACCTCTAAAGAGAGACTGGGTTGTAATTTATTACAACCCGTTGCTTTTGTCACGTAGTCTTACCAGTGCTGAAGTACAATACTCGCAAATAGAGAAGGAATTGCTTATTGTAGTGTTTGCTTGCAGAAAATTTAAAAATAATATTTGGGAAACTAAAATTAAGGTGGAAAGTGATCATCGGCCGTTACTAAGTTTATGAAAAAAGATATAATAAAAATTCATTCATCTAGACTGCAAAAAATGAGACTAAATTTACTTGAATATGATATAGATCTTACTTGTCTGCCATAGAAATTACAGAAACATCACTTTGAACAAGCTAGATTTTGCCCGGGTATAACACATGAAATAGTGGAATATATCAGTAAATGCTCGATTTGTGGAAGATGTTGAATTACGAATCGAAAACAAACATCAAAAGATAGGAATGGACATAATGACATATAGTGGCAAAGATCATTAATTGTAATAGATTATTTAGCCAAATGGATTGAAATTTTTAAAATTAAAACTAAGTCAGCTTCAGAAATTAGCGATAAACTATTAATTGTATTTTCAAGCCATGGTGTCTGTCAGATACGCCATCTAGG